ATAAGGACAAACATTGCATAAGACCAATTTTATAAAATAGAAGGTAACTAGCAAGATGTGGATAAATGTCCAGAAGGGGAAAGCGAAAGGGGAATGAGGATGGAAAAAGGGGAAGGGTAGAAATCACTAGGATAGCAGGTTTTAGTGGGCAGATTTGGGGTGGTAGTGAAAGAATAGTAAAGACTGAATGGGGACTAGAAAAGTCAAGGTAAATAGGAGTTCTAAATCAATAGTAATCAATTATCTGAAATACAATGTATATGAATGATTAGATGAAACACAATATAAATGAAAGATTATATAAAATACAATGTACATGCAGGAAACACCATGTAAATGAATTATTGAATGAAAACCAATTTTTTAAAAAAGGCTGAAAATCACTGATGAAAGCTGTATTTGTATATGTTATACAATTTTAACATTTTAGTAAATTCCCAGAACACATGGGCAATGTCTCCATAAACATGGGCAGTGTGTCTTTAAACTTTTGAAGCGCGTAAAACATCAATTGTTCTTGTTGTTGTTAGGAGCCATGGATGTTGTCAGGAGTCACTGATGATGACTCATAGTGACTCAATGAACAACAGAACTTCCTTTAACACAGTTATGTTTGTTCTTTTGGCAGTCCGCGTTCAATACTCTTCATCCACATCACATTATCCAATGACCTACCTTAGTGCCATCAAGAAAGAAAAGCCAGCGGCAGAGCCTGTCCTTTGGATGTGAATGAAATCTCTGCACCTTCTAGACCCAGAGGACTGATGCCAAGACACAGAAATCTCCAAGAAACCTCAGGCCCACGAATGTCAAAGAGAGAGAAGAAAAAAGCCTTCCCTTAGAGCTGGTGCCCTGAATGTGAACTTCTAGACTCCTAAACTGTGAGAGAGAATAAATGTGTTTGTTAAAGACCCCCACTTTGGGTATATCTGTTATAGCAGCACTCGATAACTAAGACAGACTTCAGGTGCAGGGCTGTGAGGAGGAACAATCTGAGCACTCTCCACCATGACTACTAATCTTACATTTTCCATCTCAAGTTCCTACTTGCTTATTCTGAGCTCGAAACCATCCTAAATTGGGAAACAGAAACTCCCCAAAGTGGCCAGTGCAAAAACTGCTGGTTTTCCCCAATCTCTGTTCTTCTTTCTTGGACACAGGACCTTTAATTTTTCAGCTGAGCATGACATACTGTGGTTATCAGCTGCCACTGCTAATTCCAGTCAATGGGAACAAAGCAGAAGGATCTGGTGCAATTTCTAGAAAGTGTAGCTAAAGGAATGAGAGAAAGCATATCCTTTCTTCTTCCAAATCAATGAACAACAGGCATGATGCCTGAAGTTTAAATAGTCATCAAGGATCATGAGGTAGAAATCACATGATAAGGAGGGCTGAAGAGCTGAAAAGAAGGAACCTGCATCCTGAATCAAGTGAAATTCCCAGCCAGTCAGAAGAAGACTGTAAAATTCCTTTATATGAGCCATAAACAAATTTTCATCAAAACCTTTTTGATTTTAGATTTTCTGTCACATATAGTCAAATACATTTGTAACCGATGCAGTAGAAAAAAGAGAAACCAGAAATTCGTATGACCAACTAATAGACAGCAGCAGCAGAATGCTTAGGTACATGAAGTCTAGTCAACACGTGGGTTCAAATCCTATTCCTACCACTTACTGTCTGTGTGAAACAGCTGTAAACTGATTACATTCTTCTGTATCTCAGGGTAATCACCTGCGAGATAGAAATGAGAATAGTGCCCAGAAGGTGGCTAAGAATATTAAATAAGTTGTTATTTGTGAAGCATTTAAAATAGTACCTCACATACAGGGAGAGAGTTCTGGTGGTGCAGCCCATGGGAACTGAACTGCTAACCCAAAGGTTGTGCCTCTCTGGTTCAAAACCACCAGTGGTTCCAAGGGAGAAAAAATGGGTAATCTCTTCCCATGGGATTTACAACCTCAGACACCAAACGAAGGGTCAGTTAGGAGCCAGTTCCAACACCTTGGCAAATAACTTGGAGTTCTGGCAAAAGTGGCTTGCATTTTGTTACTGGCCCAGGGGTTAGCTGTTCAAGTCCATGTACTGACTCCACAGAAGAAAGGCAGAGTGCTTCCATAAAGATTACAGGTAAGAAAATTTCATAGAGGAGTTCTACTTTGCTGTGACTTAGAGGCAGACTCTATGGAATTATCTGTTACCCAGAAACCCCTCATTACTGTTGAGTCGAAACCAACTCCTAACTGACCTTGTAGCAGGTTTTCTGAAGCTGTAAATCACCTGGGAGGAGACTGCCCATCTTTCTCCTACAAAGCCAATAGTGGGTTCCCACTACCAGAGAGACACCACCTTGGGGTTAGAGTGCAACATAATGTAGACTATGCCACCAACGCTCCCTAAGCACCTACTGGATAAAACAAATACACGTCACTCACCAACTATTTCCTTACTCAACATTTCTTATTTCCAATAAAAGTAAACCTCACTGAGTGAAAAAAAATCTACTATCCCATTATTCTACATATTAATGACATCCATCCGAGAGTGATGGGGCACTTAAGGCCCACTGAAATTTTTTTATTTCTGAGATTTCTTGGGCTGCTTATTGTGCACATTATCATCTGATTATTAGAAAGTGAAAGCAAGTCCCACTCAAAAGTCCCCATTTCTCAAAGTTCTTGTGATGACAGTGTTCCACTTATAGTACATGCTGTATGCTTATGGACAAAAATAACTAGGCCCATTTTCACATATCACTGATTTTTGCATAATGACCTAGCAGTCTTTGGTACATTACCATGCCAATAATTAAGGAATGGGTGTAAATACATTTGTCGTGGTACCAAAAATGAGAGTTCAAGTGAGTCTGTGGGCCAGCACCACCCACCAACAGCCATTTAGCAAGTGGCCTTCTGATCGCAATAAAATTATTCCTCAGCAGCAGCCGGATGCTTACATTAGTAAGCTTTGTCAGGTCACCTATGTTTTGATTTTTCCTCTACGAAAGGATAACACCTAAGAAATGTTAGAGTTTAAGATTTTGTAAACCACTGAGAAACATATCCACGGTCGATATGTTTCTTGTGGTCAATGCACTGAAGGTGGTAGGGCCTTACCTACCAGGTAGAATAGCAGGATCATATTACTTCCACCTGTCAGAGCATCAGATCCCATCTCAGCTGACCTGACATACTTCCAACAGAGCTGTAATGGTCTCCTGACAGAAAAACAAAAATCTTCCTCTGTACCTGCTCCTATCAAAGATAACCTTAGGCTCGTCTGACATCAAATAATTCTCAAAAAGAAGAAGAAATGGAATCAGCTTGCTAACATTCAGACCTTTTGACACCCCTCTTTCCTTGCTCCTAGAAGTAATAGTTCCCCTTTTGACCTCTCCATTAAACTCACTGCTTCATCTTAAAGGACAATCTTACTATCTATCCCCTGTAAAGACTATTTTTGAAATGTTTCCCAACTCAGTTTGTGCTAACTGAAGTGATGGCAAAAATGTTCTCTGGTTCCTGATGATAACCAAGGAATGGCTCAACATGTGGTAAAATAAGGAGATCATGCAATGAACCTGGTCATGCGATCTAAGTCACAGGCCATCCGGGCAACTCTGGATGATGCTGTGATTATTATGTGCCAGCCAGTCAGAACCAAATCAGCTGATGCTCCAGGGGGTTTTCAGAGGTTGTATATGGCATGGGTGGAGATTTCCCACATCACTAATTTAAAAGTTAATACAGGACAGATGCAGGGAAAGTATAAGGGAATTTTTGCACCCATGATTTTATAATGATTTTTTTTTCCCCTCCCAGTAAACCAGTCTGGCACAACTGAGAACTTCGATAAGGAATAAAAGACTGGATCATTTTTTGACCCATTGTTCTTCTAACAGAAGCCCTTGTGGCATAAGCACTCAGTTGTTATCCAAAAGGTGAGAGGTTCACGTTCACTAGCTGGTTCACAGGATAAAGATGTGGCAGTCGGCTTGTAAACTGCAACTTTGGAAACCCTCTGGAGCAGGTCTGCTCTGTCCTATAGAACTGCAATGAGTCACTCAACTGCTTTGGGCTCGGTTTTGTTCTTCCGGGGTAGCTTGGTTTGGATCTGAATCTGGCTTGATTCAAGTGCCTTAAACTCTTCTATGATTATCAAAAGGATAAAGATTAATTTTTTTCAGCTTACTCCATGTTCCATCCTCTCCCTTCCCCCTTTATACACACACGAAGGGGACAAAATAAAGGTCAGCAAACACTGGTCTGACTGGCTCAAAAAGCAAAACTGCTGAAGGTCCTGGGGGAGAGAGAAATTAAAGTAAAAAGCAGCTGACAGTCCATGTATCTAAAATGCCACATTCTATGAGGAACCCTTAAAAAGGATTTGAATCATTTCCCAGAAGAAGTGAGCAATAATCAGGGCAGCCGCTTCCAGGGCAGATGAAACTGACGAATCCACCCACTCTTATCCTCAACAGTCTGCCAAGGACCCGGGACAGTGGCAAGAGACAGAAAGCATCACCAACACAGGCTGGGGCGCAATCCCTGGAGACCCCATGGCTCACTGGTCCTCCTCTATGCACAGGGACACACGGATTCGCTCCAAAAAGGGTAACAATGACAGAGTAGTGGTCTCGGTCGTTTAGAGCTAAGGAATCTACTAGAAATCTCCCAGCGCAGCTCTGCCTAGAGGCGATTGTCCCATCACACCAATGGCCCTCTCTCTGTATCTGGTCAATTTCCTCTTTTCTTTTTCCGCTCACTCTTCCCCACCCTGATGGTTCTGATTTATTTCTTCACTCCCCTGAGCTTCCCCATCGCCAGTCCTCAACAGCACCCCATCGTCCTGCCGGGGTGCTGTACAGAGAACTTTCTCTCTTTCGCAGCCCTTTAACTCCTCCTCCTTCAGCCTGTACGCTGCTCTAACTCATCAGCACCGACCCCGTGAACCCCACCCTGCCCGACGCCCGCAGTGATCGTGCCCACCCGGGCTCTCACCCCCTGAGGGTCCTTTACGAAGTAGCTTCCGCTGGAGCCTTGGTAGATGCGCTCCGGGAAGATGCCGCGCTCAATGGCCAGCTCGGCCTGCCGCACCACCGCCTCGAACTCGGGGTCCTCGGGGAACTCATTCCGCTCGCGGTGGGCCTGTGCGGCATGCGCCGCCGCCGCGGCCTGGGCAGCCAGAGCTTGGGCCTGCGCCGCCACGGTCTGGGTCTGACACTGGGCCGCCGAGCCCCGGGCCCGGTCCAGCAGAGGCTGCCGCTCCCGGTCGTGGCCCGGGGAACTTGGCGGAGAAGGGACCGAACCTGCCGACGCTGGCACTCGGACCGCGCCCCCTGGCACCTGCGGAAAGTGAGCGCCCGAGCCCGACGGGAAGGTATAGTCCGGGGGTTGGGCCCGCTCGGGGGACACCAGTGGACTTGTCTCGTCCATCCCTTAGGCCGCGGGCTCCGGGACCCGGCGCTCTCCAGACAGCTGAGCTCGTGGCCGGGACCAATCCGTGGCACTCCCCACCCCCTGTCTGGCCAACCAAGTCGCGAGACCTATTTGGCCCCGCCCCTACCCTGCCCTGTTTACTTGGCGACGACTAGACACTGTCCCTCGCGGTCGGAAAGTAGCCAATCAGAACCTGCTCCTACGCAACCGCTCCCTCCGAAATTTTCTTCATCACCTTCTGTGAAGAGTGCGCATGCTCTATGAGGCAAACTCGGGTCAGACACGCCCCCTGCCCCATAGCCCACGCCCCTCCTTAGCTTCCAATTGGGTTACTCGTATTTGGAAGCTTTGGAAATTTAACTCATTTATTAAGTACTTATGAACTATGGGATTAAAATGTTTGTGTCTGTATTCATTCAATTGTGCATCCGTTCTTTAAATATTTATTGAGCACCAGCTATATTCAACGAAGATACTCTTTAGAGGCAAGGAGGTAAAATAAAGTTTTGCTCACGTATTTTGGGTATGTTGTCAGGAGGGAAAAGACATCATGCTTGAAAAGATGGAAGGTCAGAAAGAAAGACCACCTTCAACCTGATGAGTTGACACAGTGGTTGTAACAATAGGCTCAATTGTATCAGAGATGGTGAGACTGGCTAATGGTGAGGCAAGGTTCTGATCTATTGTTCATAGGGTCGCTGAGTCCACTGGACGGCTCCTAACAACTGTCCTAAGTGCTAGAGAGACAACAATCAACAACAACAAAAATCCTACTCTACCTCCATAAAAACGTTTAACAAAGATCTGTTCTCTTAGGTATTTTAGTTTCTCATCTAGTGTTTGTCAAAGAAAAGTACAGTTCCAGGGAGCTCTGGTGGTTTAGTGGCAAGAAGCCGCACTGCAATCTCAGAGGCAGGCGGATCAAATCCACCAGATGCTCTGCTGGAAAAGGAGGGAAAATCTCCCCCGTATCACTCAGATCCTATTCGATGGTACACACACACACACACACACAAAATAATAAATTATTTTTTTAAAAAAAGGAAGGTATAGGTATAGCTCCAGAAAGTTACTTTAAGGACAATGATGGTTTGGTTTACTACTATAACCTCACCTCCTAGACACAACTGAAGCTCAGTGTGAGTTTTTATTTCAAGGAGGAAATAAAGCTTGACATTTTATTTCAAAGTGAGACAGTTCTAGAGAAAAACCCAACACTTTGAGGTGAAAACTGTGATAGGCGTTCAGTAATTTGAGGATGGTGTTTCCTACTGCCAAAGGGGCCCTTTAGAGTAGTGAGAGAAGATCTTCACCCTGAAACCCACAGCGTCCCTTTTCAGCAGGAAGTAGCTAAGAGAATACGCCATCCCCTTTTCCTTATGACTCAGGGTGAAGTCTCTCTCAGGGAGGAGTGATAGGGAATGGCAAAGGATACACTGACAAAAAGAAGATTAATCAGAACTGGCTTTGACAAGCACTGTGGCATTTGGACAAGAACAAACTGGGAGGAGGGTAGAGAGAATAGTGCAACAATGAATGAGTGGAAGCCCAAAATCTCTGTAAATGTTTATGAAAAGTAATAAAATATAATTATAGAAAAAAAAAGTAATTTGAGGATAGGTGAAAGGCTTAGCAAAAGTCTTAAACGTATGTGTTTTGAGCTAAGTCATGGAGGAAGAATGTTACAAGATTACTATCCCAAACCAAGAGAGTTGCCTGAGAAAAGGGAGAGAACAGAAAGATTCAAGGATTCAAGGGAGAAAGGGTTTGGGCCTGATTACCAAGGGCCTGAAAAGTCACACAAAAGATACCTAGTATCTGAAAGACTGTAGAGAGCTTTAAAGAACAGTTCTCAATAGGGAAGTGATGTGGAACAGACAACTGAGGACCAAGAAGTGATCCTCAAATGAGCATAGATAGCATCTGAAGGAAGATTATTTGGAATGATTGTTCTAATGTCCACAGACTACTGTTTTCAGTTAAAATTTTATATTAGCACTGCCTTCTGAAGTTTGCAGTGCAGTGATTATAAGTATGGGTTTAGGAATCAGAAAAATGAGCTGTTTTTTGTGATTGTTGTTGTTGTTGTGTACTGTCTATTTGGATCTGACTGGCAAAGAAGGAGATTACCCCTCATTCTCCAGTGGAGCATCTGGTGGATTCGAACCACAATTTCTTGCCACTAGATCACCAGAGCTCCCTGACAAATGAATCTGAATTCTGGTTCCTTATTTACTGTTTTGGACAAATTGTTTAAATCACTACCTGGTTCTCATGCCCCAGAACCACAACAACAGAAGTAATCTCTTACTATCATTTATCTCATTTAGTTTCATGTAAGGAAAGTTGTTGTTGTTATGTGCTGTTGAGTCACTTGGGACTCATAGTAGTCCTGTGTACAACAGCTCTGAACTCTGATCTATTCTGAGCCAAAGTCATTGACTCCAACACATCTATCTCATTACCTCAGTCACTTCATTCCATTCAGGGACTTCCTCTCTTGTGCAGTCCCTCCACCCTTCCAAGCATAATGTTCCTCTCCAAGGACTGGTCTCTCATGTCCAAAGTATGTCAGAGGAGCAGCCTGGCTTCACCATCTCCAGGACAAATCTGGTTTATTCTGATTATGAACTAGGGCCTGGATTTATGTTATTCCATTGAATTCTAAGTTTTTTCTCCTCTCAGTGTTTTAAAACTCTTAAGTTCTCTCTCTTAGGACTTTATTTTTCCTCTCACTATTCAGAGTGAAAATATTATCTCTAACACATAGGAAGCTTAGACACTGAATACTAAGCATGTGCCGGACATTATTCTAAGTGCCTTATGTGAATTGATTTCTATAACCATCATAACAACTCCCATGATGATGTGATGATGTTAGGAGCTGAAGTTTAGGGAGGCAAAGCAACTTGCTCATGTTATACAACTGGTATCTGGTAGAACTGGATCCAAATTCAAGCAAACCAGCTCCATGCTTTTAATATTATATTGCTTCTTATTAAATATCCCTCTGAAATATAGTTCATATTCACTTCCTTTCTTTCCATCTCCACTAAAACCACATTCGTTCTGAGCTTCTCAGGATGCCATAGCTATATATATTTATGATAGCTTTTGAGTTTCACTCTCTAGTTCCAATCTCTGATTCTCTCTGACAGATTAATTTTCTTATAAAGCTAGTTTTATTACATCACTCATCTGGTTACGAAAGTAAATTTTTCAAACAACATCTACTCCCTAATGTTAAAGCCCTTCCACAATTTTATCTGACCTATTTAATCTTATCTGTTCATATTTCTCTGTGATGTGTGGTGAATGCCCTGGTTCAGCCTCCCTTGCCTGGACAAAGATTTAAACCAAGTGGAAGACAATGAAAGACTGACTGCGGCTGAATCCCCTGGTTTTGACCTTGTTATGTATGTCCTGCTCAGGCCATGGTCTTTTTTGCTGGACAATGAATAAGGATGACAGGAGAATTGATGCCTTTGATCTGTGGTGCTTGGAAAGAGTACTGAACATTCATGGACTGCAAGAAAAACAAACAAGCATGTCTTGGAGAAAGTGCAGCCAGAGTGCTCCTTGGAAGATGACAAAGCTCTCGCACATACATTGGGCATGTTGCTAGGAGAGGCTGTTGGTCCTTGGAGAGGAACATCTTGCTTGGAAAGTTGGAAGGTCAGCAAAACCAGATGGATTGACACAGTGACTGCAGCAATAGGTTCAAGATTATGAGGTTGGCATAGGATAGCTTAGGGTTCAGATCTGTTGTTTGTAGGGTCACGATAGCAACTCTATGGCACCTAACAACAACAACAACAAAATACCCCAAAACAGCCGTATCTAAGCTGAGCTAATTGGCTCTTATTGGACTTATTTTGGTTTCAGTTTCTTGTCTCAATGAATAGCTCTGGGAAAGGCTGACCCCAGCCCTTCTTGTTTTAGCCATGCTTCCCAAAATAGATAAAGGTTAATAAAGACAGGTAAGTAATAGATAAATAATAATAGACCACGTTGTTTTGTTTTGTGTTATTGAGTTGGAACCATATCATAATGGATCCTCCAGCAGGGTTTCAGAGGCAGTAAATCACATAGGAGATTGCCTACCCTTCCTGGGAGCAGCTGGTGAATTCAGACTGTGGGCCTTTGGGATTACAGTACATGTTCTTTAATTTTTTTTTTTAAATTACAGCATATTCTTCCCATTTAATTTTTTTCCATTCATTTACTTCCCTACCCACCCCTCCCCCCAGATCCCCTTTCTCCTCGAAAAGAAAATTCTTTCATTGTTATACAATCTCTGCCCCCCCCCCCCAAGTCCACTTTACTATGCATTTCCTCTTCTGGAATCCCGTCATAAAAATAATACCCAATCATATATTCACTTCAAACAGTACTCTCCCTCATCTGCCTCAATGTAGTATACATTATCCATTCCCTCCCTTCTTAGGTTCCCCCCCAACCCTGTTTTACAGCAGTGGCACCATGCGGTATTTGTCCTTTGTGACTGAGATACTTCACTCAGCATAATGTCCTCCAGGGTCACCCACTTTTGTATAATAGTTCAAGAGTTCCTTGTTTTTCAATGAAGTATATTATTCCATTGTGTGAATATACCACAGCTTCTCTATCCATTTGTTTGTTGATGGGCACTTGGGTTGTTTCCAACTCTTTGCTATTGTGAACAAAGCAGCAATAAACATGGGTGTGCATACAGTACACTTTCTTACCAGAGCTCCCTAAAGGTTAAGTAAATGATGGTTTCTCCCTAGGGTATGCCTAGCTTCTTCAGCTTCTTTTCTTTCTCTGGTCCCTTCCTTGAGTCTTTGGCCTTAGTTGGGTGTGAAGACCTAATAGGTTGCATGAGTGAGGATATAACTACTTGACTGCTTCCCCTCACCCATAGTGGAATTTTCTATCCAATCAGCTGCCACTGATCCTTGCAGTACTGCTTCCTCAGTCAGTAAGTTTTCCTTTCCTAGTAAACTTCTTATGTGAAACCCATACTTGGGCCAGAACAGAGCAAGGA